AAAAAAAAAAAAAAAAAAAAAAAAAAGGCCAGGTGCAGTGCCTCATGCCTGTAATCCCAGCACTTTGGGAGGCCGAGGCAGGTGGATCACTTGAGGTCAGGAGTTCAAGATCAGCCTGGCCAACGTGGTGAAACCCCATCTCTACTAAAAATAATGAAAATTAGCTGGGCATGGTGGCATGCACCTGTAGTCCCTGCCAGTCGGGAGGCTGAGGCAGAAGAATCACTTGAACCTGGGAGGAGGAGGTTGCAGTGAGCTGAGATTGCACCACTGTACTCCAGCCTGGGCAACAGGGTAAGACTCCGTCCCAAAAAGAAAAAAAGAAAGAAATGGAAGAAATGGAGAGGAAAGGATTCATAGGACTCAGCAGTGACTCTCCTGGCCCCATCCTCTTCCAAGACCTCTGAGGCATGTCTGTGCCTCATTCTCTCCCTCTAGCCTGTGGGCACTCCACCCGCTTACCTGTTCCTGCAAGGCCTGCATCGCCTGGGACCTAGCCACAGCTCCAGCTTAGAGGCCATCTGTTGGAGTGCATGAGTTCAGCCTAGTTTTTCATTCCCCTCCCAGGACGGAACCATACCTGGCACTGTGTTGTCAAGTATGAAAGCAAGGCACCCGCCCACAAACATCTCCGTGGTCAGCAGCACCGTCAGAATCTGATCCACTTCAAGAATGCCTGCGGAATAGGCCAAGGGCCAATGGGTGTCATGGTCCAATCTGGAGATCAGAGTTCAGGGGCTTTCTCTTGTGCAGCCATGGCAAAGGAACAGTACAAATCCCTGTCTCAAACCTATCTGTGCCTCTGTCTTTCCTATCTCTGGGTTCAAATCCCAATTCTGCCAGTTGCTTGCCAGTTGTTGACTTGGGACAAGTCACTGAACCTCTCTAAGCCTCATTTTCCTCATCTGTAAAGTTGAAATGATAATGGATAAATAATAAATATAGATCAATAGATAAATAGGACTGTTTTGAAAATTAAATGGCCGGGCGCGGTGGCTCAAGCCTGTAATCCCAGCACTTTGGGAGGCCAAGGCGGGTGGATCACGAGGTCAAGAGATCGAGACCATCCTGGTCAACATGGTGAAACCCCGTCTCTACTAAAAATACAAAAAATTAGCTGGGCATGGTGGCGCGTGCCTGTAGTCCCAGCTACTCAGGAGGCTGAGGCAGGAGAATTGCCTGAACCCAGGAGGCGGAGGTTGCGGTGAGCCGAGATCGCGCCATTGCACTCCAGCCTGGGTAACAAGAGTGAAACTCCGTCCGAAAAAAAAAAAAAAAAAAAAAAAAAAGAAAGAAAATTAAATGAGCACATGTAAAGCTCAATATCTGTCCACAGGAAGTGTCTTAGTAAAGGGCAGCTGTGACCCAGCCTCTCAGCTGTTGATTCACATCCAGAGTTGGGCAGAATTTGTGGCTCCAGCCGTGTGGAGCCTTTGAGGGAGGAGGCTGTGCTCAAAAGTTTTGGGCCCACCCCACCTTTGGAGACAGTAAACACCAGGAGGCACCTGTATTGATGGCGCCAGGGTTCGACTCCAGGTAATTGGGCAGCGTGAGCCCGAAGAACATGGAAAATCCGAGCACGAAGAGGTTTCGAGAGGAGTTCATGTCCACGAACTGCAGGTTGGACAGCCCCACAGCTGTAATCATGCCTAAGGGCGCAGGAGAACCGCTGGAGCGCCGCGCACGCGCAGTCCACGCGGGTCCCCACCACTCGGCGACCCGCGCCGCGCTTCAGGGCCCGCGCCAGACACTCACCAAAGAGAGTGCAGAACATGCCCCCCAGGATGGGGTCAGGGAGAGAGGCGAAGAGGGCCGTGAACTTGCCGACAGTGCCCAGGACCAGCATGATAACTGCACCGTACTGCACCACGCGCCGGCTGCCCACCTGCCAGGGAGCCAGGGGCGGAGCTAGACCTGGGGGCGAGGCTGGGGCGGGGTTAGTTCCGGGGGCGGGGTCTGTTATAAGAGCTAGGAAAAACCGGCAGGGGCTTCATGCGGGGGCGAGGCCTCTCAAAGACAGGGTGGGGCTAAACCAAACTTGGGACCGGGTTGGGGCGGGGCCTGCAGCCCAAGGAATTAGGGCGGGACTTGGCGCTGCTCCGGCTCGTCGCGACACCTTGGTAATCCCCAGGACGCCAATGTTGGGACTGGAGGAGGTGGACCCGTTGCCTGTGCCCAATAGCCCCGCAATGATGCAGCAAATGCCTTCGGTGAAGATGCCTCTGTAAGGAAAGGGTGAGTCCCGGAAACTCGGTCCAGCCTGTGTTCCCCCCGACCCCCGCACCTACTCCTGTGGGCAATTCTGGCCTTCAATTTCCTCCTCTGTAAAATGGGGATAAATGCTGGTGCACGTCTCACAAATGCTTGACAGATTGCATAAGAATGCACAGCCAGAGCCCGGCACAAGGAGGGCTGTCAATGACGGTGGTTCCCCTCGGACCCTGCTATCTACTAAGCTACTCCCAGCAACCACACAGAGGGTGATGAGAGGGCACTCCCATCGCATGCGCAATGAGGTCTGGAGCGTGTTCCCGACTTGCCCAAACCTACCCCCTGGGCCTCCACCCTGTTCCTGTGTGTGCTTCCTTGTGGGGGTCCTGAGGAGATCAGATACTGAGGAGGGCAGGTAGGCTACCTGTTGATAGCATGTACTGGAGGGGGTGGGGCACCAGCCAGGCGCGCACAGGCGTAGTAATCTCCGATGGACTCAATGATGCCTGCTAGAGTGGCACTGAACATTCCCAGGACAGCAGCCGCAGTTACTGTGGGCAGGCCCCACTGACCTGTGCCGGAGGGAGGCAGAAGGGTAGTTACAGTGAGGAGACTGTGATGGTCAGGAATAGACAGCGCAGTGCTGGAGGGCGCAAGGGCAGGTCAGGGGACCTTGAACTGGGATGGGAGCCGTACAGTTGTGGGAGCTTATTTGGGTCACTCAGACTCAGGAAGTGGGACTGAAGATTTGCCTAAGTAAAACACCACTCTGCTGGGCACACTATAAATGTGCAGCTAATGCTAGGTGTGTCACCTGCTGGATTGTAGTCACCAGGGGTCTGTCTCATAGGTGGTCTCAGTTGGGGGCAGAGGGGCCAAGGGGTGTTGCTCACAGGGGTAGGGGATTCGGATCCAGGGCGCAATAGCCATGACATCACCACGGGCATCAGTTCGTGCCTGGAAGCCATAGGCTTTTGGGTCTGTGGGCAGCACGTCCGTCAAGGTCAGGACATAGCAGAGCAGCCACACGGTCATGATGGCCAGCATGATCTGAAGCAGGGGGTGAGGGGGCACTGAAGGCACTGGAGTTCTCAGTCGATCCAGGCTAACCAGCTCCCACCTCAGCCAGAGTCCTGGCCATAGTCCCAGCCCCAGCCGCCTGCCAGGTCCTCACAGGAAACATTTTGAAGATCTGGATGCGGAGGACAGTGAGGCCCTTGCCCCATCGGTAGACAGGCAGCAGGAAGGTGAGGTTGCGCAGGTACTGGGAGAAGAGGATGATCAGGAGAATGGAGCTGGGGGCAGAGGCACAATCAGGAAGTGGATGGTAGGCCAGGCTGGGGCCAGGAGCCAGGACGAAGGACATGAAGAGGGTGGGGTGCTGGGGCTGGGGAGGGATCAGGCCTGGTGCCTGCTCACCAAGCTGAGATGCCCCAGTGGGAGCCAGCTCGGTCGCCAGCAGCTTGGAAGACAGAGAGGCCAATGAGGGAGACAGTGGGGGTGACCGTGAGAGGCCCAATGTAGTTGAGCAGGGCCCCAGGCAGCCCCAGCAGGCCAATCACCACCTCCACCACGCTGGACACCATGATTGCACCCTGGACCTGGAAGGGCAAACATCAGCTGTAAGTCACCATGTAAAGGTCATAACCTGGCAGCTAGCAGGATCAAAGCTCCTGGACCACCTCCTCAAATCCCCAAACTCAGCGGCCACCCTCACTCCCATATAGCCCCTCCTTGGGACCCAGCCTCTTTCACTCTTACATGCAAACCCACCTCCCGTATCCGTGGGTGCCAGATATGAGAGGTATTCAGGGGCAGACTCCAGTTACCGTAGATCTCCTCTGGGGGTTGAGTCAGGGACACACATAAGAACCAGGTACAGAGACAGAGGGAGAGAAGATGCTGCCATGGCTGCATTCTGGTGTCTGGACCCAGGACAGGCTCAGACCTCCAGGTCTCTAGACCTCCCCTTTTCCCCTGTGCAGACCCCAGAAGTGTACCCACCTTCCGGAGGGCATTTCCATCTCTCCAGAGCCAATATGGCTTTGGCTGGAACCAGAAATGCAAAGGCACTGGCCTGGAACAGAGGCAGCCTGGAGGAGAGGCAAGAGCAACAGGGGAGGTAGGGGTGGGGTTGGGCAGGGGGTGGATATAGTTGTAGGGAGATTGGGAAAGGTGGGCACAAAAAGAGGGACAGAGACACGAGGGACAAGGGCACATGGAAATTATTGAGGCCCCAGGGAAGACCATCTCTAACATTTTGGTGGCCCAAGGAAGAAAACAAATGGAGCCCCCAGCTCAAAACTTGCCCCCTTTCCTTCCTCCTGCCAGCTCCTGCACTGTGAGGAGAGAGCACATGGCTGGAAGTGGACAGCTCAGGTCTCGAATCCAAGCTCCTCACACAATCTTCCCCTGCCTCCCACTGCCCAAACAGCTCAAATGCCACCAGGCCTAGGGCTTTGCACTCGGGGCGTGGGGCCCCAGAAGGGTGGGCTATTGAAGAGGCCAGCACCGGCCTTGGGAGCCAGCTCAGTGCTGCCATTTGGGCAGTATTCAGAATAGGCCTTAAGAGGCGAGAGCCAGCTGGGTGCTGTGGCTCACACCTGTAATCCCAGCACTTTGGGAGGCCAAGATGGGTGGATCACCTGAGGTCAGGAGTTCGAGACCAGCCTGATCAACATGGAGCAACCCCGTCTCTACTAAAAATACAAAATTAGCTGGGAGTGATGGTACATGCCTGTAATTCCAGCCACTTGGGAGGCTGAGGCAGGAGAATCACTTGAACCCAGGAGGCTGAGGTTGCAGTGAGCCAAGATTGCACCATTGCACTCCAGCCTAGGCAACAAGAGTGAAACTCTGACTCAAAAAAAAAAAAAAAAGGGGAGAGCCAGTGAGGGCACATTCCCTTAAACCCACAGATGCCTGGTCTTTGAAGTGCACCTAGATCAAGGTGCCCACGGTCAAGGCCTTGCTCTAAGGCTTGCCAGGGATAGGAGAAGCAGGGCGCAATAGCCGTGGAGGTAGACAGCGGCTTTTTTGTCTCACCGGCATCCTCTGGGAGACCACCTGCTCCTGCTGTGTGGATCACAGTGGAGGGGTTGGGGAGGGGCTGGGCAGCTCACCGGATGCCCAGGGTGGTCTGGATGAGAGTGGTGATGCCCACGCACGTGAAGATGGTGCCAATGAGCTGACTGACCATGTGTTGGTCATGGCCCACACACAGCGCCTCGGCCAGCAGGAAGGGCACGGCGATGGTGCCACTGAAGCATGTCAGGTAGTGCTGGGCAGAGGGAGGGAGCAGAGTGCATAAGACAGGACCCCAGAGCTCCAGGGAGAGGGGACAACCTAGTGTCCTCACGCCTGCATCAGCAAGCCTGGACCTGCGCTGTCCGCCCAGTACTGGCAGTCCCGCAAGGGATTCCCAGAGAGCTACTGCTCACCACTCTGGGATTACTAATCTCTGCTCAAGTTATTCCTGCGGCTTCTGTGGAGTGGGCTCTGCTCTCTGTCACCAACACTCCACCTGGCAAGCATCACACGCCCCCAGGGAGTTCATCTTCTCTCAGGACCCGGCCTCTTCCCCAGCCCTGCCTGCTGACAGCCACTGTGCTGACCTCAGTTTTCTCTTCCTGTTACCCAAGATGCTCCCTGCTGGCCAGGGAGGGGCTGGAGGCCCTGGGAAGTGCACAGAGTGAGGGCAGGGAGGCCTTGGGGACCCACCTGGAAGCCCAGCAGGATGCACAGGTACCAAGGTGGCACGTCCTCGATCTTATACAACATGTCAAACTTGGGCTCTGTGGGTAGGGGCATCGGGGGGTCCCTGGTGGATTCATGCTGGGGGCAACAGAGAGAAGTAGCTTAGGGTGGAGTAATGGGGACGGGCAAAAATCCATTCTGCCCTGGAATCCATCAGGTAGCCCAAGTGGCCAGTCAGCAACTGAGAGTGGGGTCCCTGCCCTCCCCAGCAGTCCATACACCTGGCTGCCACTCGGTCTGGCCACAGTTGACTCCCCCTTCACATTGCTTCCTGCAGGGATGAGTCTACTGTGCCGGCTTCCAGAGGCCTCAGGACCTGGCATTCTAGCCAGGGAAATGGACCCCTAAGTCAGAAGTCTTGGGGACCACAGGAGAGGGGCTGAGAGGGCTCGAGACTGTGGACAAGCCCAACTTGGTCCCACTTCTTCCCCCTGGAGATCCTTAGGATGTCACTGGAGGGGAGGTTAGGCCCCTCCTGACCCCCAACCTGAGTCAGCCAGTCCCAAAGCTGACGCCTCCTTTACACCCACGTCCATCCATCCCCCACTTGCCACATTCAGTTTGGGCAAGTCACTCTTTATTGAGTTCATCAGAACATTTATCTCTGGCCTCCAGGGAGAAGGCCTGCACAGGCCCTCCCACCCCCACCTCCCCACCCCCAGTCCCCAGCACCTGTGTCCGGCCCTCGGGGTCCTCCTGGGCCCTCATCTCTGGGGCACAGGTTTGAGCTGTTCCTGAGGAGAAGAGGGGATGACTTTATGAAAGCCAAGGAGGAGGACTTTACTCCACATATCAGGCATTGTTCGAAGTAAATCTGTAACCAGATGCCCAGCTCCGGATTGCGAAAGGGGGGCCCGTGCAAAGGTAACGTATTAACTTTCGCTAGAGTGGTAAAGGCCACCCAAGCCTCTGCCACATGTGTTCTTCCCTGCCTGCATCTGTGCCTGGGTGCCGGACCTGTTCTTGTTTTCCAAGAGAGGGCCAGAGTCGAGTCGAGGGGTGAGGACTGGAAGTTTACCAGGCCCCAGGTGAGGGGAGAGAAGAGGGAGTGGAAACCAGCATTTATTATGTAACACCCTGTATAAGGCCCTTCCTCACTTATTTATTTTTTTATGTTTTTGAGACAGAGTCTCACTCTTGTTGCCCAGGCTGGAGTGCAGTGGCGCGATCTCGGCTCACTGCAACCTCTGCCCCCGGGTTTAAGCAATTCTCTTGCCTCAGCCTCCCGAGTAGCTGGGATTACAGGCATGTGCCACCACACCCAGCTAATTTTGTATTTTTAGTAGAGTCAGGGTTTCTCCATGTTGGTCAGGCTGGTCTCGAACTCCTGACCTTCAGGTGATCTGCCCATTTCGGGCTCCCAAAGTGCTGGGATTACAGGCATGAGCCACCGCACCTGGCCCCTTCCCCACTTTTTAGTAACCGATTAATCATTATCATCATCATAACAGTCATTCTGGTTATTGAGGAATGACCTTGTGCCAAGAAACATGGATATGCACTGTCCCGAGTAGCCCTCTGCTGGGCGGTATTCACCCCTTTCATAGCAGAGGAAACAGATTCAGTAGATGTGATTTGACCCAAGCCAAGCAGATAGCAAGCTTGCAGAGATCAATCCTAAAATTCAAGTTGGTCTGAGCTGCCTTACCCCCACCACCCTGCACCCCTCAGGGTCCCTGAGGCAGGCAGCAGATGGGCCCCTGCAGGTGGAGCTGCCTAGGCTGGCCTGGCCTGGCCTGCACCCTGGGTCAGGACACTGATCCCTTTCCCCTCCCAGCCACATAATTTCTGGGACCCAGTGCAAAATAAGAATGTGGGGCCTTTGTTCCAAAAGTATAAAGAATTTAAAGACAGCCACAGCAGAGCATTGGATGGAGTGTAGGGACTTTCTACGCACCGGGCCCTGTGTGGCTGCCCTTCCCTGACCAGGAAGGTAGTCCTGTGCCCAGCCCGTCTCCCCTCCTGGCAGGCCCAGCCTAGCCTGGCCCTAGGGCCTGAGGATGGCAGAGGGGGACGTGGGGTGGGGGCGCTAAGAGCTCAGTCTCCTCAGCTGGTGAGGGCCGGGCCTAAGGTTCCCATTCTGTTCCCCTCTGGGCTGCCCCAGCTCCAGCACTCTAGGGTTCACCTACTTCTGAGTCGCTGTGCCCATGGCCAGGCCCTGCCCGAAGGGTCCAGGGGCAGCATCACTCTCCAGCTGGGCAGCAGCTTCATGTCACAGCCCTGAGTCTGCCTGTGTGTCCGGCGTCCACACTTCCTTTGTCCGCCTGTCCTCTTCTCTCCCTCTTGGCTCCTGCTCCCAGATTTCCAAAGTTGCTGGACCAGTTTGAAGCCTCTGCAACTCCCCAGCACTTTCCTCTCCACCCTCTCCTCCCAGAACTCCCCAGGGGGCTTTGGAGACCAAGCCCCACCCCTTGCACACACAGCTCCATGGACACTCAATTCAACCCAAACCACATAACACACATAGAGAACGAGGTGGAGAGCAAGGTCCCAGATCCACAGTAGCATGAAGGGGCCCACACACCCAGATCTGATGCGGCCTCTTATCAGCCCACAGAAACACAGGTCCACGTCATGGAGGCCTGGCTCCACGCCCGGTCCTACTGACAGCTTAGTGGGTTTCTTGGGCCCTGACTCTCCTCCTGGTGTCTAGGGGTTCTCGCCTGAGTGAAGGCCAGGGAAGATGGGGCTTCAGGCAGGTCCTGGAACAGGTAAAGGATGGAAGGGGCTGAGTGTAGCTCCCAGGAAAGCTCAAGTGGCCAGGGCCTGCCCAGGCACCTCCATTCCCCCCACAGCCTACCTCCCTGTCCCCTAAGTCTGAATCCCCTCCCAGCCCGCTACTACTTAGCCTGAGACTTGGCCTGAACCTCTTCTGTGGTCTAAGTTTTGGTTTCTGCATCTGTCAAAGGGGGATTAGATTGTCTTCCTACACATGGCTCATGTGCAAAATGAAAGTTTTTTTTTTTTTTAAGACAAAGACTCGCTGTGTTGACAGGCTGGAGTGCAGTGGCATGATCTCAGCTCACTGCAACCTCCGCTTCCCGGATTAAAGCTATTGTCCTGCCTCGGCCTCCTGAGTACCTGGGATTATAGGCACCCACTACCACGCCCAACTAATTTTTGTATTTTTAGTAGGGACAGGGTTTCACCATGTTGGCCAGGCTGGTCTCCTACTCCTGACCTCATGATCCATCCACCTCGGCCTCCCAAAGTGTTGGGATTACAGGGGAGAGCCACTGTACCCAGCCCATAAAATTATTTCTAAAAATAGGGGTTAGAATGTTCTGTCTTTCCTCTGAGGGCTTGGGCAGATCAGGGACACTCACAAAGGAAGCTGAAAGTCCTGGTGTTACCGATCTATAGTTCCCAGACCTGGGCGGGGCCCAGGGCTCCTTTACTAAGGAAAAGGCCCCAGCCAGAAGAATGTCCAGGGAAAGCAGCACTGAGAACGAAAATGTTGAATCTGGCTGGTCAAAAACCCAGGGCCCAACCATACCAGCTGGCGTCAAAGGCAGAGTGTGGAAAGTGAACAGCTACTGAGTGTAGACCCGATGAGCTGTGTGCTCTGGGAGGCGCAGACAGCATGGCGTGGCTGGAGTAGGTGTGCCACAAGGCGGCCTGCATGCAGTTTTCCTTGGTTCTCATTTCTCATGATGGCTCTGAAGACCTGGGATGTCACTGAAACCGCCTTTGCAAAATTATGATTGAGACAGTGAAAGAGATCTAATTTAATCAGCTCCATCTTACTTCTAACCTCCAACCTGTGCTTCTTCATTCCTGTGTGAAGGCTGAACTCACCGTGGGAGAAACTTAGTTTTTCCTTTATAGTTTAAAACAAAGACAAGAACAGCCAAAGCAGATCTCCTTCTCGCCTGGGGACTGGATTGCTTTTGTAGGACTATTAGCCACAAGATTAGAAATGATGGTTTAGGAGTCATGCAGCTGGAGGCTACAAGATTCTGACCCTCTCTAAACTGCTCCTAAGATCAGTGCTTGAGACATTTTGCAGACCCTGCACTTGATGGATCAGCTGGCACCGCCCAGATCGATCTTGTGGCTCCCACCTAGGAACTGACTCAGCACAAGGAGACAGCTCTGACTGCCTGTGATTTCATTCCTGACCAATCAGCACTCCTGGCTCACTGGCTTCCCTGCCATCCACCAAGTTGCCCTTACAAACTGCTCCCCAAATGGTCGGGGAGACTGATTTGAGTAATAAAAGTAGACTCCTGTAGAGCCAGCTCTGTATGGATTACTCTTTATTGCAATTCCCCCATCTTGAGAAATCGGCTCTGTCTAGGCTGTGGGCAAGGGGAACCCCTTGGACAGCTACAACACCATGCGATTGACGGCTCTCTCTTACCTCTGGAATTTGTAGGGATGTATATTTGGCCTGCTGTAGGAGGGATGTAATATTGTGAAATATATATTTGGTCTTTGACCTCATTTCCTGGAGTATAATTTAAAAAATCTTAAAATCCCCAAAGTGATGTCTTTTTGTGTGTTAATGATTGACTGATGGCTGGCAGCCCCTAGGGTAGCTTCAGGACAGGGGCTGGTCACCAGAGAAACCAAGGCAGGATTTCAGCCCCCCATCCCACCCTAGCCAAGGGAGGGCAGACAGGCTGGAGTGTAAGTTGTTCACCAGTGGCCAATGGCTTAATCAGTCATGCCTGTGTAATGAATTCTCCACAGAAACTCAAAAGGACAGGGTTCAGAAAGCTTCTGGATACTGAACACGTGGAGGTTCCTGGAGGGTGATGCATCAATTGAGGGCAGCTCCGAGCCCATTCCCCATACCTTGCCCTGAGCATCTCTTCATCTGTATCCTTTGTAACATCCTTTATCAGAAACTGGTAAACATTTTTCTCTGAGCTCTATGAGCCACTCTAGCAAATTAGTTTAACTCCAAGAGGCAGCTGTGGGAACCTCATCTTGAAGCCAGTAGGCCAGAAGATCCAGGGGCCTGGACCTGGAACTGGCATCTGAATGGGGGCAGAACGGGGGACTGAGCCCTCAGCCTGTGGCTCTGCCGCTGTCTCCAGGTAAATAGTGTCAGAATTGAATTTTGGAGGGCACCCAGCTGGTGTCGGCTGCAAAACTGCTTGCCTGGTTTGTGTGGGGAAAGCACCACACATTTGGTCACAGCTGTTTTCTGTGTTGTTGTGTGATCCAATAGGAAAAGCATTTTGAAGGCCGGGCCCAGTGGCTCATGCCTGGAATCCCAGCACTTTGGGAGGCCAAGGTAGGCAGATCACCTGATGTCAGGAGTTCAAGACCAGCCTGGCCAACATTATGAAACCCTGTCTCTACTAAAAATACAAAAATTAGCTGGGCATGATGGTGGGTGCTGGATGCCTGTAATCCCAGCTACTTGGGAGGCTGAGACAGGAGACTTGCTTGAACCCAGGAGGCTGAGGTTGTAGCAATCCGAGGTCACCCCCCCCAAAGTCCAGCCTGGGTGACAGAATGAGACTCTGTCTCAAAAAAAATTTGAGAGTGGTTTTTTTTTTTTTTCTCAGAAAGGCTATCAGCAGAAATACCAATGTCTGTACTCCCAGCCCTCCAAGCACCTTTTGCAGAGAGAAGAAGTGAGGTCACTGGGTTTTATTTGAGTCCAGAGGGGAAGGCCTTGGCTCCCACCCAGGCCCCAGTGCCCTGAAGCTAGAGGAGGGAGGCAGGGTGGCAGCACAGAGCAAGGCTTTCCTGCCCTCCTGGCCGCCTGCAGACAGGGAGTCGAGACCTTCAGAGCAAGCCCAGCTTCCTTCAGAGGAAGTCACAGTCTGGGACTAGAGTTCTTCTCTTGTGTTTGACACCTCCTCCGAGCAAGCCCTGTGGGGTCCCCCACACAGCAATGCCTCCAGAGCCCCTCGGCCTTGTTGGTGGGCTTCATAGATCTGGTCTTCTCCAAACTCCCCCAAGTAGTGAAAACAGGTCCTGGAGAGCCTAGGGGAACCCAGCAGGAGGCTCAGACGCTGCCCAGCCCACAGTGGGGCAAACCAAGGCTTCAGAAGCTTCATTCTATTCCCCAAACCCCAGGCATCACCTGGTGGGCCAGGGGCCTCCTGTGACCATCACGCTGATGCTTGGCTCTTGCCCCTTGCTAAGTCCTGGGCCTGTGAGGTGTTTCACGTGGTCCACTTCTCGAACTCCGTAGCTGGTGGCAGTGGGGAGAAGAAGAATACAGCTTTGGCAAGGAGAGACTCATCTCCACACCAAGCTGGACACGCTGGGCGTTTGCAGAATTCAGAGAGGGAAAGCCTTTGGCCCAAGGCCACTGTCTGCTGGCCACCTGCTCTCCCACCCACTTGCTCTCAGCTCCAGAGCCCAGACTTCATCCCAGCCAGGCCCTCTCTTGGACCAGAGTCCTATGGTGTAGTGGGTGAGTGGGAATCTCCACCTACTAGCCCTGACCTTGGAGGAAGGAGGTGGAGGCAGAATTGGCAACTCACTCCTGCCAGTTCCGAGAGCAGCTCCGGTCCAGGACATCCAGGTAGACAGACTCGCTCAGCTCCCGCTGCCCACCAGGGTTTGGGGAATGAAGTTTGGTCTCTGCCTTTGCTAGATTTTGCCACATCTGGAGCAAGGAGGGAGTGGGAGCCGGGGCCTCAGGACTGCTGCTCAGTTAGGGGGAGGTGGGGAGGATACGAGCTGAGTCTCTGGGGAGAATGAGGCAGCAAGGGAGCCGTTTGAGCAGGAAGCACCTGTGAGGCCGCTGCACTGCCCTGCCCCCGCCCCCAAAGCTCCCTGGGATTGGGGTAGGGGATGGGGAGGAAATGCTGAAATGATAGGTGAGGCCTGGACACTGGGGCCCCTCCTCCAGGCCACATCTGCCCAGTGGCACGTGCCATTTTATTTTATTAATTAATTAATTTATTTGGGACAGAGTCTCACACCATCCATCGCCCAGGCTGGAGTACAGTGGTTCGATCTTGGCTCACTGTACCCTCTGCCTCCCAGGTTCAAGCGATTCTCCTCCCTCAGCTTCCTGAGTAGCTGAGACTACAAGTGTGTGCCACCACACCTGGCTAATTTATTGTAACTTTTTAGTAGAGACAGGGTTTCATCATGTTGGCTAGGCCGGTCACAAACTCCTGACCTCAGATGATCCACCCACCTCAGCTTCCCAAAGTGCTGGGATTACAGGTGTGAGCCACCTCGCCCAGCCGGCACATGCCTTTTTTTTGTTTTTTGAGATGAAGTCTCACTCTGTTGCCCAGGCTGGAGTGCAGTGGTATGATCTTGGCTCACTGCAACCTCTGCCTCCCAGGTTCAGGCAATTCTCCTGCCTCAGCCTCCTGAGTAGCTGGGATTACAGGCATGTGCCACCACACCCAGCTAATTTTTGTATTTTTAGTAGAGACGAGATTTCACCATGTTGGTCAGGCTGGTCTCGAACTCCTGACCTTGTGATCCACCCACCTCGGCCTCCCAAAGTGCTGGGATTACAGGCGTGGGCCACCGCGCCTGGCCACATGCCATTTTAAACCACAAGAACAAGGAAAGAAAAACTACAGCCCAATCTTCAATAGCACCTGTACTCCCAGGCCCCCCACCCCACAGAGACATTGGCATGCAGGCATGCTCAGAAGAGGTGTGTGTGGACCCAGACACACGAATACTCACATGCAGGCACTCACATGTGTGCATGTGCACCATGTAGACATAGCCAAAGCCGCCCTGTTAGGTCTGGAGAGGGAGTCCAGACCCAAGGATGGGCCTGGAAAGGGAGAAGTCCAGGGGCAACTGAGTGATTCCCTGTGGTCTCAAGATACTATGGACGTGTTCCAGATTGTTTGCTCCCTGTTAGGTGGGCAGATGGGTAAACTGAGGCATGGAATATAATGAAAGGCTGCGTCTGTGGCTTGATGCCAGTGGTGGGGGTTGGGGATCAAAGGCTGGTGGTGGAATGTGAGGTGGATGGAAGGGTCTGGCATGAGAAGGGGTGTGGCAGGGCAAGGTGACAGTGGTGAAGGACTCACCTGGTAAGCCACAGCTCTGCAGGCATCACAGCGCAGGTGAGAGGGCATGTGGGTTGAGTACTTCTCCTCATCGTCCAGTTGTGGGGCAGTGGCTGTGAGTGGGGCCCTGTCCCCGAGTCCCCCTGGGATGGCCCAGGCTCCGAACAGCAGCAGCAGCAGTGACAATGACAGCCTCATGGCCCCAGGAGCCAGCTCAGCAAGTACAGTCTGTGGCTGGGGTGCAGATGTGTGTGTGCTTGTATGGTGTGGGGACCGCCACAGAACACCTGGCCTAGACCAATGGGGAACTGACACCTCACCCCTCCCCTTCCCCTCCCATTCCCTCCTCTAGGGCCCTGGAGACGCCACGTGGACATGTCCTCTAGCTGGACCCTGGCTCTAGCCATCTAAGCTCCATTTCACAGATAAGGAGCAATGAGGCAAGGAGGGGGGTTGGGCCTGGGCAGGAACACATGGGGGCTGATACCTCCCACATCCTGTGATCGGGCTGAGTGGCAGGCACTGTGCTGAGTGCCTTGTGGGAAGAAGTGGTTGGCTGCTGTCATCTGTTTTTGTCTCAGTGATATTTCTGAGAAATGAGACTGTCATGTTTATTCTGCCCCTTCTGACACAAAGGCTCAGAGAGAGGTGACAAATCCAAGGCCACATAGCTAGAGGGGCCCTGCTGAGAAACCCAAGCCTGATTGACCCCAGAGCCCCCTGGCACTCAACCACCAGAAGGAATGAGGTGTGGCTGTGAGCCTTCTGGGAGGCAAATTCAGGGAGACAGGGATGCTACAATGTTTCAAAGACACACATGGCCTCCTTCCCTAGCCCTGAGGTCCCCTTCACCCAGGCCATACCCAGGCATGGAAGAGCACTGTGGAGGGTGTTGAGCGGCTGTGGCAGGAAATCAGGCATCTCACACCAGTTATTTCAGTCATCACGGCTCCATGGTCAGTGATTTATTACACACCGCAGTGAGGTAAGGCACCTGGGGTGGCCCCCAGGGCCCTCCATGCCATCAGAGCTGGCGTCTCAGCCAAAAAATGGCCAGGTTGTTCTGATTCATAGTTCTGCTAGTCAGCTTCCAGTCCAGGGCAGAAGGCAGGGACTGCGAGGGACATGGGCCCCCCAACAGGCCTGGAACAACAAAGGCATCCATTCCCATCCCTGCCACTGCTTCTAATGGAAACTGCCCTTCCCAAACTCATCACATCACACGCCAGGCTAGCAAGGGCCAGCCATTTCCAGTTCACAACTACACACAGACCCCCACACAGACCACCTCCCACCTCATGCAGACCCCTTCATCTCCTTCAGAGGCTCCTGGAATTCAGGGCAAATGAAGGGCAGGCTCTGGGCCCTGTCCCTTGCTGTGACTGGTCTGTAGGGCCAGCCCCCTTTCTGGGCATTGTTGCCACATCTGTTACTGGGGGAGGGAAGCTGCCAAGAGCTTCAGGTACCTCTGGCTACTCCACCAGGGGTATCACTTCTACTGCCAGCCCTAACCCACCTTCCAGCCACACAAAGGGTCAAGAGGCTCCTGTGGGACAAGAGCCCAACCACCCTCCATCTTCTCAGACCTTCCGATGACCATTTCACCTACTCCCGATGTGGGGGTGGGGGGCTGAAGCCCCACCCCAGCCCAAAAACAAGTCAGCTCAGCTCTGAGGGCCAGGTCCCCATCTTCCCACCCCAAGTTCCAGGCTCACCCCTCACCCAGGCCCTCCCTGTATTACTGCCTTGCTTCACCTCCACCTATTGCCCCCACCTTAGCTCCCTTTCTCAGAGCCAGCCTGGCCCAGGGGCTGCACTGGCCACTTTCACCCGGGTAGCATCCAGGGCCAAAGCTCAGCTCCTCTTCCTAAGAGCAGATTTGACAGCCAGAGTCTTTACCACTGCCTCACCAGGGGCACTGGCCGGCCCCACCTCAGCTGGGCCCGCCATCAGGGAGGCCAGACAGTTCCCTTCCCTGTCTCCTGCTGCTCCCGTTCCTGCTGCCCCGGGGCAGCCCCAGCACTTCCTCTGATTGGCTCCTGGGGACAAGCGCCAGCGATGCCTCACTTTCCCTATTTGCCTGCCTGCACATACACATATACACACCCACACACCACACCACACCACACCCTGGGAATACCTGGGAAAGGGATACATAATTTTGTTGTTGGGGAAGGAAGTAGGCAACCGCTTCCTGGGTGAGCTCCAGCTCCACTAGCCTCGGGGCTCAGATTCCTTCTCTGAAGATCGCTTCCGGTCAGACGACCGGCTGGGATGGGTTAAAGACAGAGTGACAGGTGATGGAAGGAGAGGAGGGTAGGGGCTTGAATTCCAGAACCTCCCAGGCCATCCAAGGGTTCCAACTCCATGGGTATCGGGCTGGGGCCTCACAGCGGGAACAAGGAGCCCTTGCCGGGCTGAGTAGGACGCGAGCTGGAGGGCGGCGCACAGAGGAGCAGAGGAGGAGCGGGGTTGGGGGTCCCGCTCACCGGCAGGTAGTAGGTCCCGTCCAGGGGCCCTGCCTCAGAGGCCCACGGTAGCTGGGGGCTGCCGAGGGCCTGCGGGCCCGGGGACGGTGGCAGGGAGAGGCTGGGGATAGGCCCATAGGCAGGGGGGTAGAGGCCGCCCAGCCCCAGGGCCAGAGGGGTGTAGACGCGGTGGGGCAGCCCGGGAGATGAAGGCGGCAGCAGCACCTCCACATACTGCCCACTCTCGGGGTCGAAGAGCACCCTTAGCCGAGGCTGCCGCGGCGCCTCCACAAAGTAGTAGCGGCCGCTCTCGGGGTCCACCAAGATCTTCCCTGGGGGCGCGGCCCCGGGCGGCCTGCGCGCTCCCTGGGAGGGGCTTTGCGGGGACCGGTCCGTGGGAGGTGCAGAGGCAGCGCGGGGTTGGGGGGGTGCCATCCTGCCAGCTGTCGCCAGGTGCTCCCGCGGGAGTGGCGCCTGGACCGGAGCCGCGGGCTCGGGGGCCTTAGGTGGTGTCTTCGGTTTGGGTGCTATCCCAGGGCTCGGGCTGGGGTGCACCTGAGGGGAGCTGGGGCGGGGCGATGGGGCCCCTGCTGGCCCTACGGGGGAGCGCTGGGATGAGCAGCGGTCGCCGCCTAGGGGGCTCGTCCGACCTTCGCCGTCGGGAACGAGGCGCTGGGCCTCTGCTTCCCTGTTCTCGCCGCCTGGGCCGCGCGCTCGCACTCCCGGGGTTACCTCGGGCCGGCGACCCAAGGCCAGGGCCCCAGGCAGGCGGATCTCTGTGCGCTTGAAGGGCTTCGCGGTGCTGTTCTCTGCCCTCCGCCGCAGGACCCCGTTGGGCTGTGAAGCGTCGCGGGGGACCGTGTCGAAGGACGGGTCTGGAGGCTCGTAGGGGTGAGGCACGACCGGTAGAAAGTCCTTGATGAAAACCGAAGTGTAGTGAGCCGGGGCTGGGGGCCCCAGCGCCGGCAGCTCTTGGGTCTTGGATTCGCCGCCCTCCTCCCCGCAGGTGTCGGCAGGAGGCGCAGGCAGCCCTGAGCCTGGGGTTCCCGCCGGGAAGCTTGGCGCGTACGTGGTCTTCACCAACTTGCGCACGTCTCGAGGTCGCGGAATGGCCACGCGCGGGCGTCCCGAGGCCGCTTCCCCAGGACCCAAGACTTCTGGGCACTTATCGGAGTCCAGGGTGCCCACAAGGTGACTGCCGGGCGGCTCAGGTGCTGCCACCTCTGGGGAAGGCTGTCTGCCTCCAAAGGCAAGATCCGGAATCTCCCGCGTGGATGGACTCTGCACCTCTGTTGGTTCTGGAGTCCCGGGTGCTGACGGTGTAGGTGGTGCCAAGTCCTCCTGAGTTAACCCATTCTGAGCTTCCTGACTAAATACTATCGATCGGATATCCATCGGATCCCACGTCTCTTGGGGCGATGGGCTCCAAGTTCCAATAGGACGATCTGGCGCCTCCCACGGCAAGAAGGCCCGCGGGGACGGGCTGCTACGTGGCTCCACCGCATCCCCAACTGCCGAATGTGGAATCTCCCACCGGGAAGGGGCTTCGAGGGATGGACCCCTTTCTCCTGCAACACACTGATTCCACTGGGAAAGGGTCGGAGGGGAAGGGCTTCTGCTGACAGTTTCCTCGACAGCGGGATTCTGATTTTCCCATGCGGTGGAGGCTTCAGGGAACGATGGGCTACTCACCCTCTGAGTATTCCGATCCCACGGGGACAGGTTCCGGGGGGACGGGCATCGAGGACCCCGTACAACCCCATTTGGAGCCTGCCATGGCGGGGACGGGCTCCTTGGCCTCACAGCCCTACTTGGAAACTCGGAGGGGACCCTACACTCAACAGGCGGACTCCGTGCCTTCTGGACAGTTCGATCCGGCGTTTCTCTCGGGACCCGAGTCTTCCGTGCCTCCTGGATCTTCTCCTCTGACTGAAGGAAGATGCTGGAGCTAACAGGACCCAGAGGCTCGGTCCCGGGAGCAGGCTTGTCGCGCCGGATTGCGCGCTCGCGGAGGCTGGGCCACGGCCTCGGGGCTTTGGCGGAGGCCAAATTATCTTGTACGCGAAGTGGCCGAGACTTAGCCTTTTCCAGGACCACGCGGCTGCTGCGCGCCGTTTCCCGGGTCGCAGGATCGGACGGCCCCGTGGGCCGGAAGGTGTTGCTGCTCAGGGCCGGGGCCTCCGGGTTCAGTTTTCTGGCCAACGCTGTTTGCACGAAGCCCGCGGCGGCCTGCAGGCAGCTCAGCGACTCGTCCAGGGAGCCGGTGCGCAGGAGCAGCCGGGGACGAGGCGTGCCAGCCGCCCGTAGGGGACTCTGGGGCCGGGGGCGCAGCTCGATCTGACGCTTGGGCACCGTCCGGGGCCTGACGAGCCCGGCGCTCTCCTCCACAGCCACCTCCACACACTCGAACTGCGCTGGGGCGGCAGGACTTGGCCCGCGGGGCCGCAGCTCTAGGTAGGTGGCCCAGCGGGAGCTACCGTCGGGGGCCTGGGACTGGCGAGGGACCGGGGCGGGAGACGCTGGCCCCGGTGGCAAGGGGCTGCTGAAGGCCGGCTCCGTGAGTTGTTGCGCCTCGCTATCCTCTGCGCCAGAGCAGCCGAACAGGGGTCCGACGCCGAAGATGACTTCCATCTCCCCCGACGGCAGCGTGCGCAGCTGGGGCTGGGGTGGCCGTGGGCGGGAGCCCGGGCCTCGAGGGAAACCCGAGCCGGGCCTGTGGCACTGGCGGCTATTCTGGGCGCTGACGGACAGGCGAGGCTGCGCGCCCGCCCCCCGCCCAAGGGCCACCCAGGGCCAATTCGCCGGGCCTTCCGCGTCCGGCCCAACGTCCGGGGGCTCCGGAGAACCCGGAGCCGTGTGGTAGGAGCCTGACGAACCGGAGGAGTCCTGGCGCCGTGCGGGGGCCGCGGGCAGCTGTCTCGGGATCCCAGGCAGGGCTGGCGGGGCGAGCGCGGTCAGCATGGTGAGGCCGGACGCCGCGCACTACCTCCCTCGCATTCGCCTCCGCTGGTGGCGCCGGCACTGTCCCCGCCCCGCCCGAGGATGCCGTGGGGTCACCGTGCCTTAAAGCGGCCGCGTCCACTCCTGAGCCAGCGGCGCCAGCAGCAGGAGAGACCTGGGTTCTGCACTCTTCCCTCTCCAGCCTCCATGTCCAACCAACCCCCTTCTCCGGCACAATCCAGAGCACCTGGTGTGGGCTCCAAGCTTTGGCTGACAGGCAGGTGAGGGAACGGCAGGCCCACCTTTTGAAGCCCTGGAGCCAGGAGTTAGGCCCAACTCCACCCATCACAGGTGAGGAAACTGAGGCCCAGCAGCGATCCGACTGAAGTCAGGCACTGCTGTGTGCAGTTCAGTCTGTGAGCCGGGGAACCAGGCCTTCAGGCTGGGCGACTCAGGTAGTGCAAGCAATCTTCCCCTCAGCCCCGGGTGTCTCAACATCACTGCAGGGGACCCCCATCGCCATTGCTGGCCTCAGCTAGAGCTCCTAAGGGTGCATCCACCACCTTCCTTGACCCCAGTTTCACTCTCCCCAATCCCCAACCTTCAGTAGAGTAAGCAGCACTGCTAGAGGCCTCCCTGGAGCCTCAGGGCCCCAGGAAGGTGCTAACTCTAGCTGGACCCATTGCCCTCAGTGGGACCTATTGGAAGAGGATGGAGTGGACAGCTCTAGCTTTCAGTCTGCCTCAGCTCCTAGAACAGTTCCTTGATACCAACATGGAGTCCCATGGGAAGCTTCAAAGTAGCTTGTGGTCCCAGCTCCAAAGCCCCTGGAGGTTAAGAACAGCCCTGTGCTCCCCAAGATACTCACAAGGCCCTCATTTCAGCCCCCATAGCCTTAGGACCTGCCCTGGAGACAGGCGCTGGTGGGGAGGCAGCCACCACCTGTCATTGTTTTACAACAGTGGGCACCACTTGCCCTGAAACTTCTGGCTTCAAGGTCCTGCTATGACTCAGGCCCCAGCTGGCCCTGGAGCAAGAGCACTGGCCCCTCCTGTGCACTTAGCCTCAAACTGACCCAGGACAGGCTACACTGGGCTAACCTGACCCCTGAAGTGGGTCCCCTGCCTGGGTGTATCCCCGTGATCACCTGGGGGACACTCAGTGACAGCTTCTGAAAGAATGTAGCCAATCCATCCCATCCAGCCCTGCCTGTGCAACTTGAGCAAGTCCAGCTCCCTTCCCAGATTGTTTCTCCACCTGAAAACCAGCACAGCAGTCTTTTCCCTTCCTCCCATTGGTGAAGCTCCCGTTTGTTGAGGGGAGGTATTAGCAGGTACAAATTTGATTTGCAGGTATAACATTATTTTTTTTTTTTTTCTTCCGAGACGGAGTTTCGCTCTTGTTACCCAGGCTGGAGTGCAATGGCGCGATCTCGGCTCACTGCAACCTCCGCCTCCTGGGTTCAGGCAATTCTCCTGCCTCAGCCTCCTGAGTAGATGGGATTACAGGCACGCACCACCATGCCCAGCTAATTTTTTGTAGTTTTAGTAGAGACGGGGTTTCACCATGTTGACCAGGATGGTCTCGATCTCTTGACCTCGTGATCCACCCGCCTCGGCCTCCCAAAGTGCTGGGATTACAGGCTTGAGCCACCGCGCCCGGCATATAACATTATTTTTATGTGATGGAAACTGACTTCCCAAATTCCTTGTAGTTCTGGAACACCCTGTCTTTGAAGTTTCTGGTCAGGGCTTCCTACCCTGTAGTCAAGTTGAAAGAGTTAAATTTACCAAGACACTGAGAGTGGGGTGTGATGTTACTGGGTAATAAGGGCTGTTTATATAGGAAGGGATTAAATACCCAAAGAAGGGGTGGTGCCTACCAGACAACAAAGACCTAGCTCCTCCCCTAGGCTACAAGTGCCTACCCTGTGGACCCCTGCTACTACCCAAGAGGGAGGGAAGTATCAGGGGCTAGAGGCTGGGGACTCTCAGAGCAGAGCAGAGCAGGCAGAGGCTGGGGATTACAGCCAGAGAACAGGAAGGCAGTAGCCATTTTATTTTTCCCTGGGATGCTGGTGGCTGCGGGCCTGACGCATTCCTGAGGTTTTCTTATGCTTCTGGTCCAGCACCTGGGCCATGTAGCTCTCCTGCTGCTTCTGGATCCGGAAGTCGGACATGTGATTCCTGCAATGGAGCCGGCTGGTGGTAGGCTGTGGACAGCCCAGGGCAGGTAGAGGCCAGAGATCTGGCTCCTCAGTGTCATCAACATCCCCGGCCGGGCCCAGACCCCTCACCTGAAGATCTGCTTCTGCTGGCTGATAACTTGCTGCAACTCTTTAATCTCATTCTCTTTGCCATTAAGTATATCTTCTTGCTTTATAATGTGAGACTCAATCTCTGTGGGGGAGAGAGGCAGGGAGGAGGGGTGGTTCCCATCCCAAGGGCTCCTTCCTGAGATAAGGCATTCCCTCATGGGGCTTTTTGGAGCTTGGCTCCCCACCCAGGAGTTCTCCATGAAGAATTGCTACTACCTTACTGACTGAGTTTATTGTGCAGTCTTGGGGGAGTGCAGTGTTTGAGGATTGTTGTCAATGACTTCATAAGTCTATTCCGGACCAGAGGACCCACATGAGGGCAGGTGAAGGTCCTTAGAGAGAGGTGGGCAGTCCTGTCCAAAGGCAGGAAGGTGAATGGCACCTGCCCTCAACTCCTGCAGGTCTTTACAAATGTTGCCTCCTTGGAGAGACTCTCCCTCATCTAAAAATTACATTTCCCAGTACTGCCTATTCCCTCTTCCTGATTTATTTTTCTTAACACTTTTACCTAACATACCATATATTTTACTCATCTGTCTTCTCCATTACTGGGGTGTAAGGTACACAAGGACAGGGATCTTTGTCTTATTCACGGCTTTATCCCTAAGGCCTAAAACAGTACCGAGCACATAGTAGGTGTACAGAAAGTGTATTTCCAGACCGAATGAATGGGATGTCCCTGGGGCTTTAGGACTTAGAAGCATGACTTAGTTCAGTCATCCCAGTCCAACCAAACCTCCTGAGGGCTGGATGGATGCCCAGCCCTGTGCTAGGGCTTCAGAAGTGGTGGGAGAAGATGGAGTTGCCTCGATTTTCAGACCTGTTTCGTCATCTCAAAGATGGGGAGAGAGACAGCCCTATCCCATGGTGGTGTGGGGAGGACCCAGTGAGACCGTGGTGGCACAAAGCCTACCCCCAAATTAATTGCACATTTGATGCAAAAATGACTCTCTGAGGCAGGACGATGGCTTGAGCCCAGGAGTAAGAGACCAGTCTGGGCAACATAGTGAGACCTCACCTCTACAAAACTAAAAAAAAAAATTAGCTGGGCATGGTGGTGGAACGTGCCTGTAGTCCTAGCTGCTTGCTGAGGCAAGAGGATCACCTGAGCTCAGGAGTTAGGGCTGCAGTGAGTTATGATTGTGCCCCTGCCTGGGTGACAGAGCAAGACCCTGTCTCTAAATAAATAAATAAAAGATAATTTTTCTGTGTTGGATCAAAATCCAAGGAGGCTGTATGGATCTGGGGGTGCTTCATTTATATAACTGTTCCTCATGGTGCCCTGGAAAATTCTGATTCCCACAAAAAGAAAATCCTACGGTCTTTAAAGGTTGGACAAGGGGCTGGGTGTGGCGGCTTACACCAATAATCCCAGGACTTTGGGAGGCTGAGGTGGGTGGATCAGCTGAGGTCAGAGTTTGAGTCCAGCCTGGTCAACATGGTAAAACTCTGTCTCTACTAAAAGTACAAAAGTTAGCCAGGTATGGTAGCACGTGCCTGTAATCCCAGCTACTTGGAGGCTAAGGCAGGAGAATTGCTTGAACCTGGGAGACGGAGGTTGCAGTGAGCTGAGATTATGCCACTGCACTTCAGTCTGGGCGACAAAGTGAAACTCTGTTTCAAAAAAAAAAAAAAAAAAATAGGTGGCCGGGCGTAGTGGCTCACGCCTATAATCCAAGCACTTTGGAGGCCAAGGCAGGCAGATCACCTGAGGTCGGGAGTTCAAGACCAGCCTGACCAACATGGTGAAACCCCGTCTTTAAAAAAAAAAAAAAAATAGGCTGGACATGGATTGATTAGCTAGAACACAAACTCTGAAAATACAGAAATGTCTAAGCACTTAAGATAAGGCACAGCATGGAAAAGAGAGACAGGTGCAGGGAGAGAATGAAGACATAAGTTTACCAGGCCATGGGGTGAGGACTCTTGAATCTCCTGCCCAGGCCATCCAGCTAATTGGTATTACTTGTGAAGTTCGTTTGGGAGAAAGAATTAGAAATATATGTGACTCTTTGAAAATAAAAGCCTGTGGTACCCGATGATGAGAGAATGGTTAGAAAATCTCTTTGAAAGTAAAGAACTATGTAAAAACCAGACTGAAACCACTCAAGGGTAGTTTGTAGGGGGGGAGTGGGGTGGGAGACACTGGCCAGGGTGAGGTCCACATCACCAGATTGGCTCAGGAGGGCTTGTGTCCCACTAGAGGGGTTTAGAATATTCTGGGCGAGGTAGCCAGGACCTGTCCCCATGACACACACACCTTCCAACAAGCAGATCCAAAGCCCTGGGGTCTTGACTGATCTCTGTTGGAGGGAAATGGCCTAGAGGAAGGATGTCTCTGGCCCCACCAGGAAAGAACCCCAGGTTCTTTTTTGGGAAGTAAGGGCAAGACTGAGGGTACCAATGGCCTTGGGCATGGGGGGGCAGTTACTGCCTGTTGGGCCCTGCCCTGGCAAGAGCTGGTGACCAAACTACTATGAGACCTGTCAGCCTGCCTGGTCAGATCAAGATGTTTGCTGGCATCTTCCCAGTGAGAGCACTCACCAGGGGAGAGAGAAGTCTGGACTGGTGGAAGGCAGGGTACCCAGGGCTCCAGGTGGGAGCCCCACCAGAAAGGACCTTGAACCTTTTGCACTTGGGCTCTGACCTACTGGAGATCTGCTAAAGTGAACGAAGCAGATGTTGCATCTGGAATTCATACCTACTTCTTAAACCGTGTAAGGGGAGTTTAGCATTCTGGGAAGTGAGACAGGCTCCTGAGCTGTAGGGGCACCAGGTAGCTGATTCTGAAGGTGCTCCACAACTTACGGCACCAACTGAGCCAATGAGTGGCCTGCAGGCATCTGCACAGAGCAGAGCCGAAAACTGGGAGCCCACACAATAGCTGGCCTACACAATAGTTTTAAAATTTCAAAATCAGCTGCCAATACTAAAAAGTCAAAAAAAGCTTCCATTAAAACTTGGTTTTGGCTGCGCGGTGGCTCATACCTGCCAACCCAGCACTTTGGGAGGCGGAGACGGATGGATCACCTGAGGTCAGGAGTTCGAGACCAGCCTGGCCAACATGGTGAAACCTCATCTCTACTAAAAATACAAAAATTAACTAGGCGTGGTGGTGTGCACCTGTAATTCCAGCTACTCAGAAGGCTGAGGTAGAAGAATCGCTTGAGCTGGGGAGATGGAGGTTGCAGTGAGCCGTGTGCCACTGCACTCCAGCCTGGACAACAGAGCAAGACTCTGTCTCAAAAAAACAAAACAAAAAAAAAACAGGCTGGGCGTGGTGGCTCATGCCTGTAATCCCAGCACTTTGGGAGGCCAAAGCGAATGGATCCCAAGGTCAGGAGATTCAGACCATCCTTGTCAACATGGTGAAACCCCATCTCTATTAAAAATACAAAAATTAGCTGGGCATGGTGGCACACGCCTATAGTCCCAGCTACTCGGGAGGCGGAGGTTGCAGTAAGCCAACATTGCGCCACTGCACTCCAGCCTGGGTGACAGAGTGAAACTGTGTCTCAAAGACAAACAAAACAAAACAAAACAAAACTTGCTTTCCCTGGGCCTGGTGGCTCACACCTGTAGTTCCAGCTGCTCGGGAAGCTGAGGTGGGTAGATCATTTGAGCCCAGGCACTTGAGCCTGGGCAACATAGTGATACCTAGTCTTAAAAAAATAAAAATAGTCAGGCATGGTGAGCCCAGCACTTTGGAAGGCCGAGGGAAGTGGATCATGAGGTCAGGAGTTTGAGACCAGCCTGGCCAACATGGGGAAAACTTGTCTCTATTAAAAATACAAAAATTAGCTGGCATGGTGGCACATGCCTATGATCCCAGCTACTCAGGAGGCTAAGGCAGGAGAATCACTTGAACTCGGGAGGCAGAGGTTGCAGTGAGCCAAGATCGCACCACGGCACTCCAGCCTGGGCGACAGAGTGAGACTCTGTCTCAAAATAAAATAAAATAAATAAAAATAAAAACAACCCTTATTTCCATTTTAAAGATCTGGTAATCCTGGTCCCCTATCAGCATGTGCATCCTTCCCTATTGAGTCCTGACCCTGAGACTAAGGGTCAGCTCCCAAATAGGACAGTGCTCACCCTGTGTTCCTCTTGTATCAGAGTTGGGAGTAAAGTGCACTATTTTTAACCCATCAAACTGGGGAAAAAAAAGGTGGACTAAGAAGGTTGTACGTTTCAGGAAAAATGGGAGCAAGCCCATTTCTTTATGGTGGTGAAGAATATAGTACACCGACTGCTTCCTTCATTTCCGTGGCCTGCCTGGTCCCTTAAGGCCTTTTCGAAGGTGTGGCCCGCCCGGGCCTGCCTGTATCCTCAGCTGGGGACAGGTGTTAGAGTGAAACCCTGCCTTTGACACAGGCACTGGGCGGTTAGGAAAGAGCCCATTTACATAAGTGTGGTGGGGAGCACGGGCCTCCCGCCTACCATTGCACTTGGTGATGAGCTGGTCCTTCTTGCTGGACTCCTGTAGGACTTTGCTCTTGACACTGGAGAGCCTGGGTAGAGAAGGTAAGACGGGAGGGTGGGCAGGTTGGCAAGCAGATGCATCCCCCAAACCCCACACCTGCTACTGAGGCCCACTCACGCTTTTTCAAAGGCCAGCTTCTCTTTCTCCAGCTGCTTGGACAGCACCTCTACCTCTCCGAGGGCAAACTGTAATTTCTCCTCTTCCTTGGCCAGGAGGACCTTCGTCTTGGCATGGGCAGCTTTCTCTTCCTGCAGGGGCAGCAGCAGTCACCTCATTACCCTAGGCTACCTTAGGTCTCCTAAACCCCCTTAACCAGCCCCCTTTCTCAAAGGGACACATAGAAACCAGAACACAGGGAGATTCTGGCCTTGCTACTGGGGCTGGAGGTTCTCAGAGGCCAACCTTTCTTTCTTTTTTTTTTTTTAGACAGAGTCTCACTGTGTTGCCCAGCCTGGGGTGCAGTGGTGTGATCTCAGCTCGGTGTAACTTCCGCCTCCTTGGTTCAAGGAATTCTCCTGCCTCAGCCTCCCAGGTAGCTGGGATTACAGGCACCTGCTACAACGCATGCTTGACTAAATTTTTTTTTTTTTTTTTTTTTTTTAAGTAAAGACAGGGTTTCACCATGTTGGCCAGGCTGGTCTAGAACTCCTGACCTCAAGTGATTTGCCACCTTGGCCTCCTAAAGTGCTAGGATTACAGGAGCAAGCCACTGAACCCATCAGAGGCCAACACTTAATGAGGCTGCCTAACCACAGGGGTCCTGGGAAATGGGGGAAGATTAGGAGCCTGCAGAGGCCATTACTTACCATCAGCTTCTTCTCTACTGCCTGGAACTCTTCTTTACTGACAAAATTTTCATCCTGGAGAACCATCTGCAACAGAGCCTGGCTGAGTAAGGGCTTGGGCCTGGGGTAAAAGGGGTGCCCTCTAGGGACCTGGACCAAAGGCCGATAATAGGATGATGCTTATGGTATCTAGGATGAGACTGAGGCCCTGAGAAAGAATTCAGGTCCACAGATAAACAGACTCAGCTCTAAGTGCTGCCCTCAAGGAGCAGCCGGTCTCATGGAGGAGGCAGTCCACAGTCAGCACTTCTAACGTATCGTGTGCCTTGATGGGTAGACATAAGGGGATCTGGGGCCCAGAGGAGGCCCCTGGCCCAGCCTGGGGAAGGGTGAGAATCACTTCCAGAGAAGGGGATGTTAGACCTGAGATCTGACTGCTATATACAGTAGGCCAGAAGAGGGATAGAGAGAAAAGCACTCTGGATGGTGAGGACACACATGCGAAGGTCAGCTGCCAAGAGAAAGACCTGGGTACTTTCTGGGAATCAAAGGTAATTCAGTGCCTAGAGTTCCACACATTTTGTTGAATGTCAGCATTAGGGTGGCAAATAGGACCTCTCTCCCCTTTCCCTCACATTCAACTTCCCAGAAGGGAATAAACTGTCTAAGAACAACTTAGAGTGAGAAATAGATGTGAAGCCAGTTTTATTTCTGAGATGGAGACACATCCCAACCTTCTTATCAAGACAGAAAAACCATGAACTCCAGCTGGCTAGGATTCTATCACGCCTACCCAAGTAATCTGTGACTGCAATGCTTTGCACCCATTAGCTGGGGTTTGATTGAGAAGGCAAAAGCTAAGGGACGTAAAGTTCTTGGAGGCCCCTAAGTTAGCGTTGGCAAGGGCCAAATCTGCGCTTACTGTATTCAGCATGGCACTGCCTTTGACTCTGGGGCAGGGTGTCCATAACAGAAGGCATGACACAGTTTTTCTGCCTGCACACGAGGGCCATGGAAACTCAGTGAAGTCGTCTTCACTGAAAATGAGGAAACTGAGGCTCAGGGACTCTCTACCAGCTCTTGCAGCAACCAGGCAACCAGAATGGAGAATTTGGCTTGATTTTAGTTAAAATTCCCTGGTTCAGGAAGGTCCGCCCTGAGCCCGGCCTCCTCCTGATGACGCTTTGGGCCATGCGTTCTAGCCACGCCCCCGCATCGGAACAGGCCCTGGCCCCCCATCTCCCCGAGCTCCTCTGGCTGCATACCACGTTCCTCAGCTGGTGGATCAACTCCTCCTGAGACTCAATCACGTCCCGCAGTTGATCGAAGGCGAGACACACAGATCCTGACCCCGCCTTCGACCACCCGAGGGGCGTCGCCATCTTTCGCCCCCCGCCAGCTCGTTGGAAATGGCTGCCTCGGAGTGCTCCTTGCCGTCGCCCACCAATGAGAATGCGACGCCACAGAGCACCCTGGCAACGCGCCGCCTCTTAAAGGAGCCGCCGGGGCAGGGAAACTGCTAACAGCCCTTAAGCATTTAAGTTTATAGGAAATTGCGCTTTTATTACGTCTTCTGTTTCTCACGCAGTCCCGAGAAGCCAGCAGGGCCCGGCTTATACTTCCCTTGTCTGCGAGCAGGTAACACTCAGAACACCAGCCCTCAGCCGCCACCCAGGGCCTGTGCAACTGCATAACCACGAAGTGAGAGCCAGCGTAGGCAGCTCCTGCATCTTTAGCTTCTCATGCTTCTTTCTCCAAATCTTAGGAGAAAGATTTGGAGAAAGAAGCATACAATAGAGGAAATTGTAGGAGATTTCAGGAGGCTGGAATCTCATACAGTTTCCTCCATTGTATGAGATTCCAGTCTCCTGAAACACACTTACTACTTAGGGCGCCTAGCCCTAAGCGCGGAAGATAGAAAAAGATAAAAAGCGAGAATGGCTTCACCTGAGATCAAAATCTTCATACTCTGATACCAGGCTCTGGGCAGCTGCACTAGAGCCATGTGCCACCACCCCAGGAGGAGGGCCCTGAAGAAATCAGGAGGACTGAGGGGGCTTGAAGAAGAAGAGTTGTAAAATGGAAGCAGGGAAGGATACAGTGATTAAGGACACTCACCAAGTCTCCAAAAGTCTCCACTGAAGCCTTTTTTTTTTTTTTTTTTTTTTTTGAGACGGAGTTTCACTCATGTTACCCAGGCTGGAGTGCAATGGCGCGATCTCGGCTCACCGCAACCTCCGCCTCCTGGGTTCAGGCAATTCTCCCGCCTCAGCCTCCTGAGTAGCTGGGATTACAGGCGCGCGCCCAGCTGATTTTTTGTAGTTTTAGTAGAGACGGGGTTTCACCGTGTTGACCAGGAAGGTCTCGATCTCTTGACCTCGTGATCCACCCGCCTCGGCCTCCCAAAGTGCTGGGATTACAGGCTTGAGCCACCGCGCCCGGCTTGAAGCCTTTTTTTTTTTTTTTAAACCCAAATAAGATTAGGTTTTGAGAACAATGGAGCGAATATATATTGTGTTCACTATTTTGTGGCGCCATTATGTTTATGTTATTTCATGTGACCCTCATAGAATTCCTATTAGCCCCTTTTTACCCAGGCTCTATGAGAATGAATGAATGATTTGGTCACTCTAGTAAGTTGTGGAACTGAGTTCTGACATGGGCAGTTTGGTTCCAGAGTCCATGTTTTTGTTTGTTTATTTGTTTTTTTGAGATTGGGTTTCACTCTGTTGCCCAGGCTGTAGTGCAGGGACATGATCTCGGCTCACTGCAACCTCCGCCTCCCGGGTTCAAGTGATTCTCCTGCCTCAGCCTCCTAAGTAGTTGGGATTACAGGCACCTGCCACCACACCCGGCTAATTTTCGTATTTTTAGTAGTGACAGGGTTTCGCTGGGTTGGACAGGCTGATCTCAAACTCCATACCTCAGGTGATTCACCTGCTTTAGCCTCCCAAAGTGCTGGGATTACAGGCGTGAGCCAATGTGCCCTGTTTGTTTTTCCAGACAGGGTCTCACTCTGTCACCCAGGCTGTGGAGTAGTGAGAACATAGCCCACTGCAGCCCTGACCTCCCCAGCTCAAGGGATCCTCCTACCTCAGCCTCCTGAGTAGCTGGAACCACAGGCATGCACCATCACACCCTGCTTTTTAATATTTTTTAATAAGAGGTTCTCACTGTGTTCCCCAGGCTGGTCTTGAACTCCTGGCCTCAAGGGATCCTCTCACCTCAACTTCCCAAAGTGCTGGGATTAGTGGTGAGCCACCCTGCTCAGCCTTGGAGTCCATGTTTTTTTATTTTTTGTTTTTCTGAGATGGAGTTTCACTCTTTTTGCCCAGGCTGGAGTGCAATGGGGTGATCTGGGCTCACTGCACCCTCTGCCTCCTGAGTTCAAGTGACTCTCTTGCCTCAGCTTCCCCAGTAGTTGGAATTACAGGAATGTACCACCGCACCTGGCTAATTTTATATTTTTAGTAGAGATGGGGTTTCACCATATTGGCCAGGTTGGTCTTAAACTCCCGGCCTCAGGTGATCTGCCCACTTTGGACTCCCAAAGTGCTGGGATTATAGGCACGAGTTACCGCGCCAGGCCTGGAGGCCATGTTCTTAACCAGGATGCTGTGCTGCATTTTTGTTGCATGTCATGGATGATTAAGTTGTGTAATTTGGTACTCCCAAGTAGGAAATGACTATATTAACAAGGAGTTTGGAAAAAAATGTTACCAGTGACTACGAAGGGAGGCAGAAAGTTCAGGTTAAGTCACTCACGCTGCTCCCCAAAGCTCCCAAGTGGCCGGACAAACTTAGCCATCCCTGTGGTTCTCTCAGCAGGAGCCCTTGTTTTGTTTCTGGCATTTGTTCTCATGGACTAGGCCACAAGGCCATCTCTGTTGGCCTCTCTCTCTCTCTTTTTTTTTTTTTTTTTTTTTTTGAGATGGAGTCTTGTTCTGTCACTCAGGCTGGAGTGCCGTGGCGCGATCTTGACTTACTGCAACCTCTACCTCCCAGGTTCAAGTGATTCTCCTGCTTCAGCCTCCCCAGTAGCTGGGATCACAGGCAGCTGCCATCAAGCCCAGCTAATTTTTGTATTTTTGTAGAGACAGAGTTTCACCATGTTTGCCAGGCTGTTCTCGAACTTCTGACATCAGGTGATCTGCCTGCCTCGGCCTCCCAAACTGCTGGGATTACAGGCGTGAGTCACTGCACGTCACTGACCTCTCTTAAAGGGCCTAGAACAATAGAGTTCAACAGAACTTCTAGTTTTGAAAATGTTCTACATCTGTACTATTCAGTATGGTAGCCACTAGCCACATGTGGCTCTCAGCACTTGAAACGTAGCTCATATAACTGAGAAACTGGATTAAAATTTTTTTTTTTTTTTTTTTTATCCTTTTCTCAAGATCACTTTAATCGTAGCTCTTTTTTTTTTTTTTTTTGAGACGGAGTTTCGCTCCAGTTGCCCAGGCTGGAGTGCAATGGCGCGATCTCGGCTCACCGCAACCTCCGCCTCCTGGGTTCAGGCAATTCTCCTGCCTCAGCCTCCTGAGTAGCTGGGATTACAGGCATGCGCCACCATGCCCAGCTAATTTTTTGTATTTTTAGTAGAGACGGGGTTTCACTATGTTGACCAGGATGGTCTACGATCTCTTGACCTCGTGATCCACCGGCCTCGGCCTCCCAAAGTGCTGGGATTATGGGCGTGAGCCACTACGCCCGGCCAATCGTAGCTCTTTAACATTTTAAAATTTTTAGTTTAAATTTAAATGGCTAGGGGTGGCTACTGGCTACTGTACTAGAGAGTGTGTGCCTAGAGGGCACTGTGCAGGTTGTGTGTGCCTCAGCACAGACCCCTCTCAGAGCCCTGTGTACCAAACGTGAATGTTCACCTGAATCACCCTGCACAAAGCTGCACATTCCTCTGGGGCAGTGATCCCTGAGCCTTCCCCACGAACTGCATTCCCTCCCTAGGGTCTTTCATGGGCACTGCCTGATGTCCCTTGGTATCCAACATCCACCTTCACCAGCTGGAACAGGCTGCTCTCTGCGTATCTGGGGCAAAACTCTGGAGAGCAGTAGGCTCCAGCAGCCACCTGGGGGTGGAAGGTTATAAGCAAGACAGAACCGTGGATCCAGGTCTGCACCTGCTTCCTAGCATGGACATGAGGTGTGGTCACCCTCGTTGGGCACTACTACAGACTCCTACTCTACATGTTGAAAGCCACTTTGGGCTCCTGGCCAACCAGGACTCAGTGAGACTCAGGATGACATGACATCACAAACAGCTCTGTGATCCTACCTAGGAAGGGCTGCCTTTCTGCACAGGCTTGTCATTTTGGCTGATGTTCTGGTTATCTATTGCATAATAAACCACCTCCCCCAATTTTTTTTAAGTCATTGAAAAAAATTATTTTGTTCACGATTCTGCAATTTGGCAAGGTTCAATGGTGAAAGCTTATCTCTGCTCCATGCAGTGTGAGCTGGGATGGTTCAATGGTGGGTTAGAAGTTCTACTTCCAACATGGCTCACTCACGTGACTGGCAAGTTGGTGCTGTCAGCTGGGAGCTCTGCTAGGGCTGAGGACCAAGGGTCTTGGTTTTTCTCTATGGGCTGCCCGGCCTTTCCGAGAGCATGGAGATTAGGTTAAAGAGAAAGCATTTAAAGTGACAGAAAATGGAAGATGCCAGTTTCTTAATGCCTGGGCCTGATACCTGGCATAGTGTCATTTTGCTGTTTTTTTTTTTTTCTTTTTGAGATGGAGTCTCGCTCTATCACCCGGGATGGAGTGCAACGGCACAGTCTTGGCTCACTGCAACCTCCACCTCCCCAGATCAAGCGACTCTCCTGCCTCAGCCTCGCAAGTAGCTGGGATTACAGGGACCTGCCACCATGCTTGGCTAATTTTTGTATTTTTAGTAGAGATGGGGGTTTCACCATGTTGGCCAGGATGGTCTCGAACTCCTGACCTTGTGATCTACCCACCTTGGCCTCCCAAAGTGCTGGGATTACAGGTGTGAGCCACTGTGCCCAGCTCATTTTTACTGTGTTCTATCGGTCAAGGAGTCACAGAGTCCAGATTCCAGGGGAGGGGACACAGATCCTGCCCCCCATCACCTTTCAATGGGAGTAGTGTCAAAGAATTTGGGCTGCACTTCTTTTTTTTTTTTTTTTTGAGACGGAGTTTTGCTCTTGTTACCCAGGCTGGAGTGCAATGGCGCGATCTCGGCTCACCGCAACCTCCGCCTCCTGGGTTCAGGCAATTCTCCTGCCTCAGACTCCTGAGTAGCTGGGATTACAGGCACGCGCCACCATGCCCAGCTAATTTTTTGTATTTTTAGTAGAGACGGGGTTTCACCATGTTGACCAGGATGGTCTCAATCTCTTGACCTCGTGATCCACCCGCCTCGGCCTCCCAAAGTGCTGGGATTACAGGCTTGAGCCACCGCGCCCGGCCTTTGGGCTG